AATTTGTTCCACTGGTTAATTGTTCTCACGGTTAGGAATTTTCTCCTTAGAAGTAGGTTGCTTCTCTGAGTGACATTGTCTTTCCTATTACCAGAGAATGCTCCTTGCAGCATGGGAAACCTAATCAAAGTCTTACCTATCTTATTAAGGAGTCCTGAAGGCACAGGTTAAAGTTTAGCATCTCAGGCAAACTCTGCCCACAGCCAAGAGTTTGATCCTGGTGGGGCTTGAAGTTGAACAGAATAACTAGAAAGTAAACGTAAGGAAACAGAATGCAGAAACTACTTGAAACAAAATGAAAAGGACAATACAGTGTGCCATAAAAAGAGTGTAACCATAGAGTTACTCTAATAGAAAACATGAAAAAGATCTTTGGTAGAATAATGAAGTGCAAACAGCTACAGAGTGAGAAAAAACAAGATCTAAGAGAATCATGGAATTAAGGAAAAATCGAAAGATAGATATTGTATAACAGGTATAGAAAGAAGAATACTGTTGTGAGGACTGTTGTAGTCAAAGAGAACACGCAATGAATGAGATTAAAGGAAATGTAAATCAGTTTGATGGAAATAAGATGTTGCTTTGGAAGTGGATGGAAAGGAATAAATGAGGAGCCCCCAAAAGTGTGAATGGAATTTTTTAAAAAGTGATTAAATTATTCGGGATGAAATTGATGTGCGATAATCCTAGCATGAATATTGTAGAGATTTGTGAAATGGGAGGATAGAAACATGTGAAGAATCAATTGAAACGAAAGCTAAAAATATTAGAGCCCAACCCAAAAAAAATTTGTTGAAAGGAAAGTGATAAATGCTCAGAGGAATGTTGAAAAGGGGCAACATTGCCAATGTAGAGAATGTAATTGCATTATATTACAGCAAGGGTTTAGTTTGCTTCTGGAGTGCTGTGCACTTTGTTTTATGTGTGTGATATGATTGTATGATGGTTGCAAGAATGCTATTATTGTTCTCCGACATGGAGGCAAAGGTGGCAACAGGAAAGCTAAGGATTTGTTTTTCAAGGATGCCTGGGAAAGTGTTTGGTAGGTTTCTGATTGGAAGGCTATAAAATGCAGCAGTGAACAGAATAAGGGGGTTTACAATGTAGCCTTATGCCAGATAATCAATGTGAAGACCAGTTTTTATTCTTTAGCAGGTCACTGAGAAGTATATGAAGATGGGAAGGAATGTTGATTGTACATTTGTTCATTTAGACAAGCCTTATGATGATATGAATCAGCCTGAATTATGAAATGTGTGAACATGGCTGGTTGCTGCATGAATAGCAGTAGCAGTTAGACTTATATACCGCTTCATAGGGCTNCCATTTATGTCCAGGATGCAAGGGATTGTAAATATTTCTTTTGTTTCCACTGATCCTTCTATTTACTTTTCTTCTTCCACACAACAAATTACCTGCCCTCCACCCCCCAAAAAAGTTTAAGGGACAAACAACAACTAAGAATGTCTTTAAGAATCATTACATAACATTATCTAATGTCATTCCCATCCCTCATGCAGTAAATCTCCAGAAGAAGAAAAAAAAGGGAAATAGCATTTTTTTGGAAATAAAACATAGCTTCATTCTTTGGTCATTCTTGTTTGTTGCTTATATTTATAAAGCGTGTAGCAACTGAATGTCCAATGCAACCAAATCACCGCTCTCCTTATCTCCAATATTTGGTAGCTTTTTATGCCCTATCCTTCCATAATTGTTGAAAACACTACTCAAATAGGATACCATTTCCACAAACAACCAGTGCTCCCAATAAAATTTTAAAAACAAAATGTATTATTTCTTTAAATATCAAATTATGTAAGATTAAATGCAGTATAAAAGTGTTTTGTGCATGAAAATTTAATGACAATTTATTTAAAGGTATTTTTGTCAAATCTATAAACGGAATCATTTTTACACTGAATTGTCAGATCAAGCTGCATTACTAAATAAAATAGGACATATTTAATTTAATCAAGTCAGTTCAAATTGTTGAACTAAACAGAATCTCTTGAATTCTTCATATATTTATGTTCCCAGTACATTTCAGTGAATTAATTTCTATAGCAAAGTGGAAATGTGAATTAAATTGAATCCCAAAACCAAATTAATAATTTGAATCAGATTTGTCTAACAGATTTCATACCAAAAAAATGAATAATAATGTGTATTTATAAATGGAACCTAAATTTATTACATTTGTTTCATAATAAAAGCAAATGCATACTTAGTTAATATATACTTGCACACAGAACAAAGATACAGGCAAGGCTAAGCCTGCTAATTAATAGAATTGTAGAAATTAGTTAAATGACAATGCAAGTACCCTTATCAGTAGCCTGAACAATTAAATAATAGATCAGTTGCAATTCTTAGCAAATATAATGGCTGGAAGAAGAAACATAAACCCTGAAACAACTCTATGAAGGATTCATAGAAGAATATCAGCTAGATAATGTAAAAACGATATTTTGGGCCAGATTACAAAAAGGCAGTTGTAAAATGACTTGTTTTGACTAAAGTGCATATAGGAGTTATGGATCATAACATTTCCAACTATAAAAAACATGTAAGTAAATATTTTTCCTAGTAACTGTAATACATCATTTTGGATGGTACGGAT